CCATGGGACCTCGGCTGGACGACGACCAAGGCCCCAAGTCATCACTGCAAACCCGGGCAAGTCGCGGCACCTCACATGCTTTGCCCGCATACTCGACACGTATGGGTCGTCGCGTCGCGACGAGGGAGAGCCGAGTAGAGTTCGGGGATTCGGTTCGGAGAGGGGGGTTCGGCCGGGACCGGGGAGACATTAAATGGTCGGAATTGGGGCACAGAATAGTGGCTGCCTCAGCGGGTTCATCCGTCGTTACCGGATCGATTGATGGGGTCGAGGTCAGGGTGTTAGTGGACACGGGGGCATCGGCAACTATTATTTCGGATCTCATTTATAATATTCTCCCGGTACAATGTCGTCCGCTTCTTCCGGTGGATGTGCCATTTTACGCCGCAAACGGGGGATCGTTGGGCATTATCGGTCAGATTAGGGCGTCCATTTGCATTGGTGATATCAAATTGTCGGGACCCGTTTTCGTTTCATCTTCCCTGGCGGTTCCTTGCCTATTGGGCACTGATTTTTTGGCGAAAATGCCCATCAAAATTCTCATTGATCAGCGTTGCATTGAACTACCATCGGGTCGCCGTATTTCATTTTTGACGAGCCCTAATGTAATTCGGACGGCGTGCGCTACCATTCAGGCGTTAGCAACACAGACCGTGCACGTGCCCCCGGGTTCACAAATGTTGATTCCCCTCCGGTTACGGAAGCCATGGGGGAAGGAGGCCTCGGAACAGGCCATGCTTTTGGGTCCTTCTAATAGGGCTGTTGGAGGTCTCGATTTATCGGTGGCTCACACTTTGGTTGGGGCAGACAGGGATCCGTTTGTCATGGTTTTAAACGCTGGGGCGCGGCCGGCCGTCATTCAGCAGGGCACCGTGCTGGCTCACGCGGCACGGGTCCCTGCGGAGGAGAGGCTGGTTGCGCAGGCTGATCCGAGCCCCACGAATAGCGTACCATCAAAGGAGGACCTAGATTGGATTGATATGCTGTGCGCGGACTCTGACGATTTGTCAGCACTACAGTTGGGTGCGTTGCGCGGGTTGCTGATTGAATTTTCGGATGTCTTCAGTAAACATAAGTATGATATCGGATGCACGGACCTGCTACGCCACCACATTGAAACGGGCGATGCGGCACCGGTCAGGCAAAATCCCTTCCGACTGAGTCCTGCTGAGAAGGAACATGTTCAGTCGGCAGTTAACGATATGCTGGAAGCCGACATTATTTCGCCTTCTTCCAGTCCTTGGGGAGCACCTATTGTGCTCGTTAAAAAGCAGGACGGGTCCCTGCGATTTTGCGTCGATTTCCGCCGCCTGAATAAGATCTCGGTGGCCGACGCGTATCCGCTCCCCAGGATGGACGAGTCTCTCGACGCATTGTCCGGTGCGCGATACTTTTCGACTCTTGATTTATTGTCCGGATTTTGGCAGTTGCCACTCGACGAGGAGTCTAAGCCTAAGACTGCATTCCGGACTCCAGGGGGCCTGTTTCAATTTAACCGGTTACCCATGGGACTTCACTCCTCTCCTGCGACGTTTCAGCGTCTTATGGAATTGGTTTTGTCGGGCTTGCAGTGGGAGACGTGCCTCATTTACCTTGACGATGTCATTGTTTTTGGTAAAACGTTCGAAGAACACCTCCAGCGATTGAGAGGGGTGTTCTTGCGAATGCGATCGGCTAAATTAAAGTTTAAACCGGCCAAATGCCATCTTTTTCGTAAATCCGTGAGGTACTTGGGTCACATTGTCGACTCTTCGGGGATTTCTACCGATCCTGCGAAGACGGACTGTGTCAGTTCGTGGCCGACGCCCACGTCAGTGTCAGACGTGCGCAGTTTCATCGGTTTTGCTTCGTATTATCGCCGATTCGTTGAGCACTTCGCCACCATTGCAAAGCCCTTGCACGCTCTAACGGCAAAAGGAGTGAAGTTCCGGTGGGGACCGGAGGAGGAGGCTGCATTCTGCTCCCTCCGGGACGCCTTGGTAAGGGCCCCACCCTTGTGCTATCCAGACTTTGAGAGTCCCTTCTTGCTAGACACGGATGCTAGCAACACGGGCATTGGGGGAGTGCTGTCCCAAGTCGTTGGAGGGGTCGAACGGGTGGTCGCCTATGGTAGCAGGGTGTTGTCGCCGGCAGAGCAGCGCTACTGCGTCACCCGTCGTGAACTACTTGCCATTGTTTTTTTTGTACAACAATTCAGGCCATATCTCTATGGTCGTCATTTCACGGTCCGGACGGACCATGCGGCGCTCCAGTATTCATTACGGGTTGCCCAGCCCTCGGGCCAATTGTCGCGGTGGTTGGAAGTCCTCCAGGACTATCAGTTCACGACTACGTACCGTAAAGGGTTGCGACACACGAATGCCGATGCCCTGTCGCGGTTGTTGCCTTGTCACAAATGTGCGTGCTTATCGGGATCGGCGCGCTGTAAACCTCCGGTTACGGAAGGTAGGGAGGCGTTGGTTGCGACCGCGAGCACACCAATTGGGGATGGTCCCGCTACCCCAGGGGGTCAGGACTCGCTGCTCTCACTGTCGTTGATTGAGTGGGGCCGTCTCCAAATGGCGGACAGCTCCCTGCTGGCATTGCGCCGAAAGACGGAGGGTTCCGAAGGTAGCCACGACCGAACTGGCTCCTACGAGCTTAAGCAGGGCCTGTTGATGAGATGGGACAGTTTGTCCCGGCGGCATGCGATTGTGGTGCCTTCTGCTGTGAGGGGGAAGGTTGTCTTGGCCGCACACGAACGCCTCTTGCATTTGGGAGTTAACAAAACGCTTGCCCTGCTTCAGCGTGACTATTATTGGCCGGGAATGGGGGGTGACGTGGTGAATATTCTGAAGGGTTGTGTTGAGTGCGCCAGACGGAAACCACCGCCCGTGGCAGCTAATCCACCGCTGCAATCTATTCAGGTCTCGCGCACTAACGAGCTCGTTGCACTCGATATTCTGGGGCCCTTTCCGGTCACGCCTAGGGGTAATAAGTACCTGTTGGTGGGGGTCGAATATTTTACCCGGTGGCCTATGGCGTGGCCACTCGCCAACCAGTCGGCGGCGGCTGTGACGGACGCCTTTGTCCAGGGCTACGTCCTGGACAAGGGGGCTCCCGAACGCTTGCTGACTGACCAAGGGAAAAATTTTTCGAGTAAATTACTGCAGGAGGTGTGCGACCTGTTGGGTACCAAAAAGGTGCGTACCTCCCCGTACCACCCGCAGACGGACGGGATGGTGGAGAGGCTTAACAGGACATTGACCTCTATGCTGTGCCAGCAGGTGTGTGAGTCGCAGGTTGATTGGGACCTGCAGGTCCCTGGGGTCCTTGCCGCGTATAGAATGGCCCCCCATGCAGCTACGGGGTTTTCCCCGTTTTTTCTAATGTACGGTCGGGAAGCCGACCCGCCCATGGAAACGCAGCTGGGTCTGCCCGCACCACGAACTAATTCTAAATTGGCAGAGCATATTAAATTTAATATTCATAAACTGACAGAGGCAAGGGAGGCCGCACGGCTTAATTCGCGGGCTCGCCAAATTGCGAACGAGCGGTTGCGGGCACGGAAGGTGTCCGTGCACAATTGGGAACCAGGTGACAAGGCCTGGCTGCATTGCCCTCAGGCACCTTTGGCCACGTCGCCTAAATTGTTGAAGCCGTGGCGGGGACCCGTGGAGGTCGTGCGGGTGGCACGCCCCCAGTGCGTTCAGATAAAATGGGGGAAACGCCGTTGGTACGTCCACCCCTCCCGACTGAAACCGTTCTCGCCTCCGTATGGCCTCCCCTTGTGTCGTGAGGGCCGAGCATGTGACGTGACCGACGACCCTGAGGGGGAATTGTCCTTGCCTGCTCCTCACATGTCTCCGCCTGATCCGCTCCCAGGTGTCTCGGAACTGACTGCTGCCGACCACCGGCGGCCGGATCTTCACGGCGGGGCCGGTCCTTCCAGGCCCGACCCGTGCCGTCTAGAGCTGCCGGAGACACCGGACGGTCGCCAACGTCCCGTTCCATACGACGGACCGGCCAGACGGACTCGCGCTAGGTCGCGCTACTTTGTGTAACCTACCACGTGCGGAGTCGAGGCAGCCGGAGCGCCTCGGCACTGCGTGGGTCACAGTGACACTTGGCGCGTTCGTTTTACGGTGTTCGCTTTTATTGTGTTGTTCGTCGGGCTGTATATTGCTTCATATTTAAGGTTGTGTTATGTTGTTGTTGTTGTTGTGTTACGGGGCACACTGGGATGTGGAGTTCTTTATTACTGCGTTGCGTTATGTTGTGTTGTAGGTTAACAGCCGGGCCGGCTGCAAGCTATGTGGGAGGGGGTGATGTAGAGGTGATACGCGCTGGGATTAAGGATCGTATGCACAGTGCGTGATGATTGGCTGTGTAGGTGGTGACGCGCGCTGACGGTGGAGGATCAGGGGTCAGCGCGGGGTCGTGGGTTACGGGGTACCGATTGGCTGTGGGCGGTGACGCGCTGAGAGAGAGTGCGTCGTGATTGGGTCATTAAGGAACGACGCTCACGTCGACGCCGCATCAGCTCCGTCCCTCGTGAGCAGGGGCTATAAAAGGGGATGCACACAGGCGTAAGGGCAGTGTGTAACCAGCGAAGAAGGAAGACGGGGATGAAGACCTAGAGCCCTGCGGTACCTAGCCCCGCTGTCCTAAGGGGACCGGGACTCTGTGTAACCCAGAGGCGAGTGTAGTGGGTGTAGCCATAGGTCTACACGAGCCGAATGTACTATGTGTAGCCAGGGCATAGGGCTTACACGAGTCGAGTGTATTGTGTAGCCAGAGGCATAGGGCTTACACGAGTCGAGTATATTGTGTGTAGCCAGAGGCATAGGGTCTACACGAGTCAAGTGTATCGGGTGTAGCCAGAGGCCTAGAGCTTACACGAGATTAGTGGAGTGTGTCGGAGGAAGAAGAGAGACCACACGTTGTATTGTGATACCTAAAGGATTTAATAAAAGTGTGTTACCCGTCAAGAAGTTCCTGCCGTCAATTCCCATACTTCACAAGTGAAACTCATTGACGGCATCAGCATACAACTCTTGCAGTGTGTGCTGGAGCGTTGTTGCGCACAACAACAAGTGAGTCACGCTCACCTTTCCAAGAGCACTTTGCTTATTAACCAATGCAGGTAGACAGAGGCAGTCTGTAAAATGATCTGCGATCGGCTGCTTGTGGGCCATGAAGTACACGTGCACCACACTCCTCGCAGAATCCCATGCAGTGGCGAGCAAGGTCTTCCCTGCAAGGCGCTCTGGCTTGATTTTCTTGGCTGTTGGGAGAAGCTGGAGCGACTGCCGTTCGGGGTCGTGTCGGTAAACTCCAGGCCTCGTCGCCGGTAGCGAATCGCCTACTTACAACTATGCCCCAGTCATTCTCCGCCCGGACAAGATTGTCAGGGGAAGTCACCGTTTGACGATCGCTCTTGATGCCGTGTCGGTGTCGTGGCAACCTGACGTGCACACATTGTCTATGGGACACTTTTTGCCTGTATCGAAATGATTAAACAATACTGGTCAACAAAAAAAAAATTTCTGGCCTGGACTTTTGCAGCTGTTTTAGACTAATTTCAGGGTGCTGATTCCAAATCTGATCTCAGATTTGCTCTATCACATCTCGTTTTTTTTCTATCGGCATACCCCATCTTCATTGATTTTACCCGAAATTAACTCTGTCACTTATGATTGCAAGTTGTTGCGAGTCAGTGACTGCTTTAGTATTAAAATATGGTGCTGTATTTTTAGGATAGTGTGTTTATAATATCATTTTATGTAGATATCCACATTTATTTAATATTTTTCTTCTGCAGTTTTTATTGAAAATGCAATATTTGATATATCAAAAACCTGATGTGATAGACAAAAACTGATGCCAGATTTGGAATCAGCATCCCAAAATTACCTTAAAACCGTTGGAATACCTTATGCCAGAAAAAGTGTGTTGACCAGTGTAATAGGCTTTACCATATCTGGCAATAACACAGGTTTTGAGATGTTCAAATGTTGAATTTCTTTCCCACCGTACATCACCAACCATGCCCATCAGAGGTGCATGAATGTTGAAATTGTTTTGCACCGTACATATTAAAAGGCATCAAAAGTCTGCATTCACCCCACATACTTGTGGCAACACGTGTGGTAAATGCAGACTTAATGCCTTACGATAGATGTCTTATTTGGTGTTTGAACATCTTAACACTTGCGGTGTTGCTGGAAAGGGTAAAGCCTATTCTTATTATTCTTGGTTCTTTCAGTAAAGTCACGTAGAAGGGAAATAATAAAATAATACAAATATAAAACAATAAAAATTCTCACGACGTTTCGACTGCAACACAATCATCATCAGGTGTGAAATCCACAGCAGCACCAAGTCTTTGGTGCTGATGTTAGGAAAAACCGCCACTTTTTTCAAATTTTCTTGCTGTGGATTTCACACCTGATGATTGCTTGTTACAGTCGAAACGTCGTGAGAATGTTTATTGTTTTATATTTTTATTATTTATTATTTCCCTTCTACGTGACTTTACCGAAAGAACCAAGAATATGAATCCCTGCAGTCACAAAAGCTATAAATCAAAACCTATTCTTATTGTTTCATTGCCTGGTTCATTGTTTCCACCGATCCCACGCCAATGCCAAAGGTGTCAGCTGACTTGGGCTGCGGTCTTACAAAACCGCGTGTCGCACAGCCTTGATATTTCCCTCGTTCACCGCAGTCGCTGGCCGCCCCAACCCTGCGGTCATCTTCAAGGGTCCGTTCTGTCACGACGGAAAATCAGCAACCTGCAGTATGTCCGTTGTCGCGTATGATGGTGCATTGTCGCGTTGTAACACTTTCCACTTGTGTTTGGAAATTAAATCATGGTTTCGTGTTCTCGTGTCAAAAATGTCGGGAGAGCACAATGCTTAATTTAATAATCGTCAGCATCCATCATGGTCTACCTGCAATAGATGGATATTGTACCCTGGCTCTATGGCTATACTCAACCATGGACTGTGAGCAGTTGTAGCAGCATCAGTGATCTCCGCTAAATCATTCTGCGCCAGGCTCGGCACTCTTGGTGCCACCCTCGTATGCGAGATGTTCACGTGACCCTTGGAGCCAACACATGTCCTCCATGCACCACAATGTTAAATAGTAATTCGAATCTTTAAACGAACATTACAATGCATTGATTTGAAGCTTTCGTGACTGCAGGAATCCATACTCTTTGGTCCTTTCGGTAAAATAAAATAAAAAATAAATCGCGACGTTTCGGGCGCAACACAAGCGCCCATCACCTTATTTTATACCTACGTGACTTTACCGAAAGAACCAAAGAGTATGAATATTACAATGCATTGAATTGCAGAAGAGGCAAATCGTTGCATGGCTAAATCTCAGATTCTCAGCATTTCGAGTTCTATTCAAAAGAATGCATTGGCTTTGCCACCGTGCCAGGAAATGCACTTCCCTAAAGTCACCAAGCCCAAGCAAGTACCAAGTTTCAAGGTATTTATAATTAACACAGGTGCCGATTGCTTGCAGATAAAAAAAGCGCCAAAACATGGGAACACTTTAAATTAATTCAACGGGCAGAAATCACCCTGCGGGCAATTGCCAAGCTCCCGGCACCACGTACTGCGTCAGGTTAGCGTCGGTTAGCGTTACAACACGGACCTTTCAGATATTCTCACAAGATAGGACATGCCCTTAAAATATGGGGCTAATTCACGAATGGGGGGTGCCCTCATGAATCCGTTTTCTTTGGAAAAGCCCAGTATTTTCACGAAGACAGCATTTTTGCCCATTTATAGCCTGTAATGCTTTACATATATATTGTTTTGCATATCATACAATCATGAAAAGCAATATAAAACCACCGAAAGCCACAGGCCAATTCTGGAACATGTAATCCAGTCCTACAGCAGTTACAGAGTACAGTGCTAAACTGAGACCGCCTGGCACGTGATACCTTCTGCGCAACTAACAACAAGGCGACGTCGCATTTGTGATGTGGGACAAGGCAAACACCTGCTCACATTCTCTTTTGAGGACACACAACGATCGAGGCGGCGCACACTGCACGCGTCACGTCATCGCCATTTAGCCAAAACGTGACAAGAGGCGGTGGGGGGGGGGGGGCGAACTTTTAACGGGCGTCGCGCGTCTCATCGTAACCATCCCCCCCCACCCCGCCCCGCACCCCCCCCCCCCACCCCAACCAATCGCAGCCGCGGAAAAATCAAAGTTACAAAATATTGCACGCGCAAATCTGAGTGCATTTTTTTTTCTTTCTTTCAGGAATGAGGTTACACGTACAGCACCCGCGCATGGCACACAAATAATAAAAACAATCAAAAGTTTTTCAGAGATCACCTTATCCCCCCCCCCAATGAGATATGTTCAGAATCAGTGACTGGGAGTCATTAGAAAATCACAGCAGAGACACTCTTCTAAAGCCTTTAGCTAATCATCTGTCTTCAGAGGCAGCCACATCTCCACGTTATTATTTTGTTCCGACCCACCTGAAGTGACGTTTCACCAGACACTGTGCAAGGACAATGTTCTTCATACGACAAAAAAAAAAAACAACACAACACGAACCAACAACATCATACCAGTGAAAACAACAAGAACGTACAATCGCGCTGGCTGTTGGCAACATTTCGACCGGACCAACGCTGTTAAAGTGCAGCCATCAAAATTGTAGTTGACCACTCCCGCCGTGGGCCACGGCAGCATTGCGGGACACCTTGCTCGTGGCGCAAACCGGGGTGGAGAGTGTCGGCCCTTGACGCTTCCGCAGCACATCTGGGCAAGACAAGGCGAGTAGTGGTGCGGCGGAGTGACTGGCCGACAGCAGCCTGGGCTCTACGTGGGCTCTCAGTGACCGGCCAGCCGGCCCCACTGCACCGTCGAGAAGAAGGGGTGCGCTCGAATCTCCTCCACTCCCAGCCGCTCCCACGCGTTGAACTGCAGCAGCTGCTCCACAGCACGCACACAAAAAAAAATTGATCCTGCGTGTTAACCTACGTAGACCGTTGGGGGCGGAGTGGGCTGTTAGCGAGCGGTAGTGAAGGTCGGCAAGGCGTGTGCGGGGGCAATGGGGGTAGGGCAACAGTGTGGCCAGCAACACGCCCGCCTGCGTTTCTCTCCCCAGTGTTGGATGTTTACACGCCGCAGCAGCTACTCATTCGACCAAGAGGAAGGGTTCAGAGATCACTTGCCACTGACGGTGGCCGTGGCCGGGAATCGAACGCAGGTCGCCGGCATTGCAGCGCAATGCATTACCTAACCGCCGTGCCACCACTCTCCACGACACATACACAAAACATGGGCAAGCATCCCGCATCGCCAAACACGTCCATAAGGCTTAAATGGCTGAATGCCAAATAAATATCCGTATACAAACACACACTCTACATGTAAGTGCAAACTAAACAGATGGATATTGCATGGCTAGTTGCATGGCAAAACCGCCAACGCGATGACTTTACACCCTATGGTTGCGCGCACGTAGTGTGGGTTTATTTATTTAATCATAAAAAAAGTATTATTCTGAAGTTAATCTCACCTGGCGGAGGAGCGAGGCAGCCTCTGGGGAGAGATGCTCGGGCAGGTGTAGCGTAGTGTGCGTTGTGATGCCAGTCGGGTGGCACATGTGCAGTGCCTGCACGGACGCTCGCAAAAAAAAAAAGCGGAGTCATGAAAATATTCGCGCGCCATCGCTTGCTGGGTCTTCCGCTAAGAAACATTAAGAAACGGAAGACAAAAGACAAAGACCTGAACTTAATGAAATAAAAGGCTTTGAACAAATCACCCAGAATGTCAATGCACAATCGGGTTGCCATAGGTGCTGCGGAGATATATTGTGGGCAGCAGAGGTCACTATAGCAAAATCCATTATTATTGTGCTGTGCTTCTATGGTCCCACGTCTATGCTCCACGCCCTCCCCAACCCCACACTGACCAGCGTGGGAGAATATGGTTAAATAACCCTCCAATAACCCGCGTGGTGTGGCGATGCCCTCATCTTGCAGCGGATTGTACATGCATGCATTGTAATCAAAATATATTCATGAAAATTCAGAAAGGTAATTTTCCAAAAATGTATTCATTCCCTTCAATAGCCCCTACCGGACACAGCACGCTTCGAATTAGAACGTTCTTGAATGTAATGAAAGACGTTCAGCAGACGTGGCTATATGTCGACTTAAAACAAACCCGAAATGTATTCTTTAGACAAAATATAAGGGCCTATATGGACGTTCATCTTGCTCACAGGCAGCACGAGTTGCTGTTTGGAAGGACGCAGACTTTTCTCCCCGTCTTATCGATTGTTCAACGTTTAATCGAATAGACGGCACCGATTTGAAACAAAAAAGTGAATTGAAAATCCGCTGTCCACCCCGTGCCATAACTTTCACCAACATCCTTGCCTGCGTCAGTGAAAGCCATATAAAATAACATTTTCTCCCCTCTTACTTAAGTTTGAGCTTAAGTATAACAAATATAGAATTGCGCCTTCCCACATTCGTCTCTCCGCATATTTTTTTTTTAAATACAACCCATCGGCCACAAACCCTTTCATCTTATCAGCAGTACTGGTTCAATAGACGCAAACTCTTGTCCGGTTTTCACATTCAGTGTCTCATCAGCAGTCAGGCTTGCTTGAACCAATGCCAGTGAACTGCCTGATGTTTATAGGCAAGGACCCTTTCCCGTAACTTATAAGCGATCTTGAAGAAAGTTATCGGTCGATTAAAACAATAGCGCGCATTCCTCTGAGTAAAGGGATGTTCAAGGGAATGTTTTGACAAACCTGTCCCGTCAGGAGTTCAAACATTATGGCACCAAGACTCCACCAGTCACAGGCCTCGGTCTCCTCAGCAATACCACCGACCTCTGCCCGACAATGCACAAGGGGGTACACATTACCCTCCCATCAGCCCAACATTACCACTCCCCTGTACACAAAAACAAATATCTGCTGTATAGCCTTTTAACACTGTTGGGGCAAGTGCTGTTAGCGTTGACATATGAAGGCTGACATGGCACACTAGTGGGTGGGTGGCCAGCACCATACCCGGCCGCCTTTGTCTCCCCAGTGGCGATGTTTACACACAGCACTAGGTGTAAATCTACCTCAGTGAGGCCCAGGACCGGTTCAAATATTCTCCAGTTATTGGTCGTGAGTGGGAAACGAACTCAGGTCGACAGGATGATAGTGCGGTGCGCTGCTACACTACCCCGCACAAACAAAGATCCCCCGTATAGCCTTAACAGACTGTAGGGGCAAGTGCTGTTAGCGAGCACCTATGAAGGCCGGAACGGTACACGAGGGGGTGGGTGGCCAGCACCACGCCCGACCGCCTTTGTCTCCCCCGTGGCAATGTTTACACACCGCACCAGGTACTCATTTGAGGCCAAGTCGGCCTAGGGGAGGCCCAGAACCGGTTCAGATAATCGTCACTGGTGTTGGCCGTGAGCGGGAATCGAACCCGTGTCGCCGGGTTCATAGCCCAGCGTGCTCACCGCTACACTACCGCTCCCCACTACCCTGCACACACACGCATGCACATACATACATACAGCGATCATCGAGTGGCTCGTGTCTGTCTAGGTCACACCCGGCACTCACCCGGGGCACAGTAGAACTGCTCCTGTGCAAGGCTGCTGCAGCTCCAGTCCACTTCGCTCCACTGGCCAAAATAGGTGAGCAAAATGTGTCCTGAAAGCACAACGCGTGGAAGGACATTCATCTCTTAAATGAACTGCGGGACGGACTGAAACACCTCGATTAAACATAACCAATAGGTCATGTAACCACCTGACAGACTCAGCCCCTCCTAACACAGCAATATAATCAATTAGCATTAATAGATTTTTAAAAATCCATTCCTTTTAGTAAAATTTTTACCATCTCTTTTGTGTTTTTATCAGTCTCGTGTGTGCAGTCTCATTCGTTACATGAGCAAATTATTAATTTCCAACAAGTTACAGTAGCTTATGAATGACAGCTTCTTACGTGCACAATTAAATGAGCAAAAGAATAGATTTTAATTGCGGCATCGTGACTGCGCATTTCAATCGAGTTTCTCGTTTTAAAATCACACCGTAACCTGAAACGCATGATTTTCACGTGACACCTGAATTCTTGCAGGCTGTTAAAAACTACGGCCGTTATCTTTCTGCTGTCACGGCCACCAATTTTTTCTGGAATCCACTTGTGTCCTCGGCTCTCTCAAGTTGGGGAGTCTACCATCAGGAGACGCTCTTCAACTCATGCTCGATGTCAATTACAGACATAAATGCAAACTGTGATTTGACATCTGTGAATTTTCAGATGTGAAATGTATCCTTTCGTTGTATTATTTTTAATCATTGCCGTCATATATGGGATGCCCCAGTGGCGAGAGGTTATCTGCCTCGCCTGGTATACAGGAGGGTCGTGGGTTCGATCTCAACTCTTGACGCCTGTTGTATATATGGAGTTTGCATGTTCTCCCCGCAGTCGCATAGATTTTCTCCGGGTGTTCAGGTTTTTCCCTCCAGATCCAGCATCAACATGCATTTAGAGTATTTGGTTGCTAGGCATTTCCACATAAGCCACTTCGTTGAGCTATCATTTGTGGCCAGGCAGCTTCTGAAAAAGAGCTGCATAGCTCAGTGGACCTTGCCTGCTAAAACAAAAATAGCTTCGTCTAGTTTGCATATTTTTCGAAATTATTCTATTGTTTTGATCGATACGTTAAGACAACCCTACAATTGTCTAACGTGTCTATCTACGTAACTCCCTCTGCAATCTTCTGCCATCGCCGATCCCCAGCCTTGTCAGGACACCTCCGGTAAAGAGGAAGCCTCGTAGTTCTTCCAGATTCAATCAAAGGTCGACGTGGTTTTTTTTATACGAACTTAATACCCGGGTGACGCACAGAGGACAAGTGACATCTCCGCTCCGTACGAGATGAGGGCGAAGCCGCCACGGAGCCATGCGAACTTGGGAGACGTCTGGCAGCGTGTCGGATTTTGGCAGAGGAGCCACCTCCGCCACCCCACCCCGCCCCCCCGCTGAGATCAGAGTTTCCTTTGATGCTACAATTTGACCTTGTATTGTGCGGCGCGACTACTGTGCAAGTATCCGTTTAGTATGCAGCCTATTGAGCTTCCCGCAGAAAGTCCGTATTGCACCTTTATAGATATATTTCGGAATTCACCCCCCCCCCCTCCCGAGTTTTATGCTCATTGCGCTATAGTGGAAAGGCAGCACATTTCGACGGCTGTGATCGCAGCACTGCGGAGGCAGCGAGGGTTGGCGGATCACACGAATGTTGTGAAACTCCCTTCCTGTGGGTGTCAAGGTGGTGCGATACCCTGGCTTGCCAAGAAAAAGGAGTAGAGCAGGTAGACTCATTTAGATCTGTTTGCATCTTGCGTGCGAGGGTTTTCTCTGGGTGCGCTGGTTTTCTCTGGGTGCGCTGGTTCCCTCCCACTTGTATGAACAGTCAAATTGGCTATCTTAAAATAAAAACCCAACGCAGGAACCTCCTGCAAACAAGTCCCTGGACTGTGTGTGACTCTCCTGGAGAAATGAATATTATTATTATTATTACAGGAGGGTAATGCGCACCGCATGGCAGTCAAGTTGTACTTTAGCCAAATTAAATTGAAAACCAAATTTAACGGGCCGTTTCTTTCGTGTGCAATCATTGGCGACTGGGCGAGAAACGTGCAACACTTGAGAACCCGTTTAAATCACGTGCCTGCCTGGGTTCGAACCCAAGATGGGAGCTGATTAACCAAGTCCAATGTCCAAGTGACAGTTTTACTATAATGGGTATACATTGTTGAGCGACAGCAACAACATACTTAGAATCTGCTTGTGCTAGAACACACGGAACATTTTTAACTTAAATAGAACTTAATCCTTCCACAACTACTACTAACACATGTATTAACCTTTTTGTCAATCCACTGCTCGATCGGGGCTTCCCTATGCCACGCTGGTCGTGGGGGTCACTGTGGGTCGGTGAAATTGGGAAGCATAGTCGTGGGGCACAGGAGTACATTACAACCATGGATTTTGTTGCACTGCCCTCTGCTGTCAAAACAAAGACACACAGCCACCAATAACAAACTGGAGCGTAGTGGTCACCCATTCAAGCACTATACAGGCTCAACCTCTGCTTAGCATCAGTGAGCTGACAAAATTGGTTGAATTCTACGGTGACCGAGTCAGAGTCATTACTAACAGCTACAAGTTAATAATTCATCGAAGGGTTAGGCCATGGAGCGATTTGGCCAACATTCTCTCGCGTAACCCCCCACACCGCTCGACACGGCCAAACAAATTAAACGGTCACGTGCAGGGGCGTTAAAGTGAGCTCAGTGCGGACCCCTGTCGTCGAGCAGGATGTTGGAGGGGTTGAGGTCGCGGCAGATGAGGCCGTGTTGGTGGAGGCCATCCACTGCCATGACCATCTCGGCGGCCCACTGCCGCACGCAGCCCTCGGGCAGGCAGGTCCGGCACTCGGTCGCCCGCGAACGCGCCTCCTCCAGCTCCCGGAAGACCTGAGAGACGTCACGAGACCGCGTCGCCGCCACGGCAGACGCATCAACGTCGTCGTCACCGTCGTCCTCCTCGTCGGCGTGTCGCCGTACTTCCGACACCGGCAGACTCTCCGGGCAAGTGGCGGTGGGCGCAGTGGCGATTGCCTCGGCTTCGGCACGGGTGGCGTCGACCCAAGGCAGCGCCACCGCCGCCATCGCCATCGTCGCCGCGCTCTCCAACAGGCCCTGACTAGCGTACACGTCTCCAAACGTGGCATTGCCGTTGTCCACGTTCGTCTTGGTGGAGTGATCGTGAGAATTGCTCTCGAGTCTTTTGTCTCCTTCGCGGACACTGTCGACCACCGTGCCGAGGTCGGAGTCTGCTTCGACTCTCCCTTCGTCGTTTGTTCTGCTCACCTCCGTTGTTGCGTCAACCGCGGCGCCCAGAGCCACGTCGGCACCGGACACAACTCCATTACTGTCTTCCTTAGATTCTATTTCATTTGTAACATGATCGTCGCTCTCACCACAAACGGCTATCATCCCTGAGTGACGGTCCTCCTGTTCACTCTGTTCCACACCGTCTGTTACACAGAGTAGCGTGGAATCCGTCGCGAACAAGTCCGGAGTTCCTATAATTTCTTGCGCTCCGCTCGCCGCCGATTCCGGGCGAGGTCTCGCGTAGAAAGTTCCCACATCGCTTCTCCCACTGCCGTGGCTGAAAGTGTCCTCTTCGGCAGCTTCTCTGAAGGAAATGATGGGAATGACTTCAGAGGCGGAGTCAGACTTGTCGTCAATCACTCCAGCGTCCACGCAAACGTCCAGCTCGTCGTGCATCCTTTTCATCATCCTCTCGTTCTGGGCCACCACGTCCTCGATCGTGTCGCTCGTGTCCCGGCCATCGGCCGCCTGCGCCGCCGACATCCTTTCCGAGCTGTCCACTCTGTCGACGAAGGGGAAGTCGCCGCCGCTGTCGCCGCTGTCGATCCTGAACAGCTCCATCGGGCTGCTCTTTGAATCGCGCAGGTGGTCGCCAGAGCGGGGTGGCTCCGCGAAGACGTCCGAAATGCCTTCGGCCGGGAAAAACACGTGCTCCTGCAGCGTGGCGGGCGAGCACAGGCTGTCCGAGCTCAGATGCGACATCGACTGTCCGCTCATCTCCTGGCACTGAGAGTTCGAGTCGGCCCCGTCCGTGGCGGCGGAGAACGCGTTCACAGGCTGAGCCACCTCCTCCGTCACCCGCTGCTCGGCCTCCTGCTGGTACTCCTGGAACAAGCTGAGGTAGCTGTTGGAGTATTCTCTCTCACCGGAGTCTGTGGACAGAGAGCGGTCGTCACCTTTCACCTCCGAGTCATCCAGCTCCTCGTCCTCCTCCTCCTCGTCGCCGTCTTCGGAAGTGCTACCGTCGTCGTACGAGCTGCCCTTGCTGATCTCGGTGATGTCAGCGAGCGGGGCCTGGGGCGGCTCGGAGGACGAGGCCGGCGAGGACGTGGCCACTTGAGGGACGAGGAGTGCGGCGACGCCTGCTCGCTGCCCGTCCGAATCCCTGCTGGAGTCTGTGCCATCCGCCTCGGCTTCCCTCGCGTACTCCACGCTCTCCTCGGGGCTCCGGTTCAGAAATCCGCTCACGTTGGACCACAGCTGTCCTCCTGAAATGACGCGAAAAGCCAGGCTTGCGAAGAGTGTCACCGATGTTGCTGTGAAGGCCACTGCACGGGTTTTTACTTATCCCTTTAATTTAGCCAGAAAAGCCTCCGTGAATCTTAATAATATTTTGGATGCTTCCTCTTGTGACACGACACCGATAGCAAAATCTGGATAAAAAAGTGTAAAAATATATACTTGAAATATATGTATATACAAGGGTGGAGGGGGCATGCAGCGATGCCACTACCAACCGGTGGCGTAGCGCAACAGCAGGAAGATGGAGTCCTCGGTGGAGAAGTAGCGGATGAGATGGACCAAGAAGGGCACACTGCGCACCACCACCGTCTTCTGGATCTGGCTCATCTGGCTGCTCTTCCTAAGCCCCTAGAGTGGAACGCAAGCATCAGTTGCCCCACTTCCAGAGGTCAGGGGACGCGGGCACTGTGAAACCATCAGTATCATCATCACCAGTCTGAGTCAATCTACTGATGGATGAAGGCCTCCACAAGCTGCTGCCATCTCTCACAATCCCACGATCGCGACGCATCGATCCACCCAATGCCCGCACTGATTTCGTTCATGAATTATTTGGTTCACTTCTACATTTTAATTATTATTCAATTTAGGCTAAATGTGTGTGGCACAGTGGTCAGCGCACTCCGCTAACAAATCAAGCTTCCCGAATTTTGATTCCTAGCCACCGCTACCATGGATGGCGAGCGATATATGAACCATTTTAGGTGCACCACTTCACCTACCAACATTGATCAGAGTCGTCAAATATGGTCGTGGCCGACACTGCGTAGCGAGGCCTTCACCCAGCAGTGGATTGACAAAACGGTCGTCAAAAACATTTCCAGCAGCCTTTTTACATAAAGACAAGAGCACAAAGTCACGCGAGGAGATGTTCAAGGCTCAACAAGGACAGACGGTGGAGGAGGGAGAGGAGGGAGGGAGGGAGGGAGGGAGGGAGGGAGGGAGGGAGGGAGGGAGGGAGGGAGGGAGGGAGGGAGGGAGGGAGGGAGGGAGGGAGGGAGGGAGGGAAAAAACATGGCAACACAGACAGAAGCGCAGCCGGTGTCGCCTGGGAAAGGGAGTAAACGCGAAGGAAAGAAAGGAGCAGGTCGTCAGCGAGTCCACAAAGCCCACATTATATGCATTATATCAAGGCACTAAAGCCCGGACAACACAATAACAACCCCAACGTTCATAATAGGGCGGGTTCATTACAATTTGGCATGCGCAACGCGCATTTCAAAAATAGCGTATTCCAGTGCCCAACGTGAATGGTTTTTTTTCATACCCGAACCATGCCCTTAATCAACCAATCAATAATGACAACGGAATCAGTAGTCGCAGTTGTTCACCCCCTCCTTTTTAGACTCAACTGAACTTCACCTGCCAGGCAGTGGCCTTACTCTCCCCTTGCCATAGCTCGTACAAACAGGCCCGCTCGAAACAACAAAGCCAAAGATCCCTCAGTATCACCTTAATATACTGTTGGGGCAAGTGCTGTTAGCGAGTACCTATGAAGGCCGGAACGGCACACAACGGGGTGGGTGGCCAGCATCACGCCTGGCCGCATTTGTCTCCCTAGTGGCAATATTTTTACACATCGCACCAGGTATTCAACTGAGGCTTAATCCACCTAGGAGAGGCCCAGGACTGGATCAGATAATATAATCGTCACTGGTGTTAGCTATGAGCAGGAATCGTCGGGTTTGCAGCGCAGCACGCTAACCACGACACTACCACTAGGAACAACAAAAAAACGCACCCACAAAAAAACAGACATTCAGATGACTGCGAAAGTTTCCAACGCTTAGCACGACCCCGCAGAAGCCCCGTGTCATTCTGCTTCACAAACCTGCCGGACTTACAGGACGAGCATGGGCTACGTTGCGTTCAAGACGGAGGCAAAACAACAAAACAACGAAACATCGTGCATTAATGAAATACGCCACGTCATCACAGCCAGCGTGCGCTTTGTCTTACCTTCATGACGAACGTTTCCCCGCTTTTCGGGTCAAGCACAAGCAGCACCTGGCCACAAAGGGAACATGTTGTGACCGTTGGGGAGACAAACCTTGACCCTCCAAGTACTGGCTGCTCCCCTCATCTTTATGCGCGCTCATCCATATTCGCAACTTTAGACCCGGTGAACGTTGCATTTTAAAGTTACGAGCTGTTATCCTATACGGCATATCTGGACCGTGCTTTGTATCTGCCAGGGATTTGTAAAAAGAAAATGTTAATATGTACACGGCTACTGTATATTATTATAATGTAAGCGCGGTGTAATGACATGCATCTTTAGGATGGACCATACGGTCACTTTATTCACCCGCATGAAAATAAGCCGAGTTGTAGATCACGCAGATTAAAAGCAGCCATCAATAATTGACGACTTGTTTATTAAAATGACAATAAGAGAAGATGTTAAACGTTCTTTAAAACCAGGGTGAACTTTGAAAGGACACGTGGCTTAATGCGGCCGCTTGCATGGGCAACAGCACATGAGACTCGGACAAAACATTTAAATCAATTTCACTCAGGAACAGCTCTGGGCAACAACTGTCCGAAAGTGAATTGGAGCACAAAGTACACGGTGGAGTTTTTTCCGCGCGTGTGCTTTATTTGTTTAATTTTTCTGAATTTCTTTCAGGAATTCGCCAATTACAGCTCACCTACTTTACATCAACGGCACCAACGTCCTCGCACTTTCGTAGCGTTGTTAACTCATTGCTCAAGAAAATTAGGCAGAAGCCCCGATCCACCAAGATACCAAAAGGCCGCGAGCGCGAGTAATCGCGTCTGCCATGCACCGCTCCACACAAACCATGGCAGATGCGGATACCTGATCCACAAATGGAAACTTAAAAAACTCTCCAGTAGTATACGACTGTGGTCATCCAGAACAGAGACCATACAACATATGAAGACGCCATGCCCAATTGACAAATACTAAGAAGACATCATAGCGATACACACTCTGATAATTGTTTTTTTACCCTTTAATCTGGCAACAAAACTGACACCTTTTCTTGGTTCTTTCGGTAAAGTCTCGACAGACCTGTTCTCCACCTGAAGACGGCTGCTTGCGTTGTGGCCGAAACGTCGTGAGAATTATTTTATGTTTTATTTTTATTATTTTATTTTCCTTCTACGTGACTTTACCGAAAGAACCAAGAAGATGAATCCCTGCAGTCACGAAAGCTTTAAATCGAAATATGACACCTTTTTTACAAGGAGTCATGTTTGCATTGACCACATTACCTGCGGTCAGAATGCAAACAAAAAACACAACTCTGATCATGTATGCACTGTCCTTGAAATTGATTGGTCCACACCCGAGACAGCTTTTCTTAGAGCCTAATCTCACATGGTGTTGGACCAGATGACGCCAAAAGGCACACAACTCAAAGACAATGCACCATCAGAGTATGAGAGCTCGGGGTAAGCATAAAAAAAGGCTTCAGTTTTGTTGCCAGATAAAAGGGTAAAAAAACAATTATCATATTTTGCTACTGGCAAAGGAGGTTCTCCAATGGTGATACACACTCCATTGCTCCTGACGTGGTTATCTGGCTTGACCACCTGAACGTGAAACTGTAGCTGTTGCTCAGCATCTACATCAGCCGTACAAAAGAAGAAGATGTTGATACACGAGCGGGCCATTTATTAGAAAGAAAAAAATTTACTTCAAAAAGATGGATCAATATGCACATTGTATTAAGAATTCTTGAAGAGAGCTCTTTGTCAATCCACTGTCGGATGAAGGGCTCGCCAAGAATTTCAGTCGTTGGGGCTGTTTGACCATACTTCACCACGCTGGTCAGTGCAGGCTGGTAAAGGCGGGCCGATTCATATAACACTCGCCACTGATGTTAGCAGCGGCCAGGAATCGAATTTGGTTTGGGGCGCCAGTTCATATCGCAGTGCGCTAGCGATTGCACCACCACTCTCCCCCGCTGGAGAGGTTCACAGTGCATGGCCAACAGCACATCGCCCTCGTCACATGTCACCATAGCGATGATGGATGCGAACAGCGCCGAGTTCCCCGCATGTCGGAGGCTGGACGCCCAGCGTGCAATATTTCCACACAGTCAAAAAAGTTCAAGTGATTTCCTCTTCAAATGAGCAATGAGGCATATCGGTGCTCATCTCCTGTTTACAACTCGGAGCCATTGGTGTAAATTTGGCGTTCCTATGGCAGGGGTGTGTTTATGCATAGGACAAACACTGTTAACGTCCCCACAAAATAGTGCCTATGTTATCGGCTGAAGAGGGATGATGGGCTGAGTCAACCCCCAACCAGGATTTGAACTCGCAACCTTCCTATTGCGAGCTGCTCGCTCTACCGCTGAGCCACCTGGACACAAATCAATCTATCATTAACAAAAAAATACTATTATTATTTGTATAATCCATTAATCAATCTCTTCGACCAATCATTTCAACGCTATTCCAGATATTTGACTATTAAGCATTTAGCATGCATTTGACCATTTCAGCAATGCATCACCACTACCAAGCAATGCATATGAGCGGACTCAAACCAGCCCTGGAAAACATCACGTGCGAGCGCGTTCAACGGAGGTGCGCGCATATTGATTGGCGCACTGCGATATACACACCCTCCCCAAGTTTCACAGATGTTCTTTTGCAACTTACCGTGAGTCTCTCAGTCTAATGATGCCTTACCGAATCAAGCAAGCAGCCTGGACTAATCCACATTCACTTTGGAAAGCTTTGCCGGCTGCCAAGCATTAATTTGATTGCTCAGTGAGGCTCTTGAACTGAAGAGACCTCACATGAATGCAGACATGAAATTATGGTTTTCACTCAAGCTTACTACATGTAACTAACATTCCATGTTATGCAGTCCCTGGAGATTTGAATTAATCCGCATTTAGATCTAAAAGCACTTCCACTCTGCTGCTGCTGATGGAGAGATTTATTTGCAAACTCTATCCGTAGGCATAAAATGTTTTAATATAAATGCTTTATGAAAAGGAGGCAAAGAATGTGAATTATGTTTTTCAAACCATCTGTCTACAACGAACAAAAGTATGAAGATTAGATTTTTTTTTTACACATAGCTATGCATCCTTAAGCCCTAAAGCAAAAGTCGAAAACTGCATCTGATGCTGAAGCGTTCCGTCACATTTACTTAACGTGGGACTGCACGATCATAGAACACTACGTATATTTTTCCAGCGTACACGATAAATAATGCAGACCCTAAGTGAATGTGGTACGTCACAAATAACGACTTACTTTGCCTATGACGCCAAGAACTCGGAATTTTTTTAGCTCCTCCAATGGCGAAGCACAGAGGTTCGGAGGTCCAAAGCTCAAACCCTGCTGAAACAAGATGCTTCCGTTAAAATCACCACCGGCGACCTGAATCTCAACGCACGCGCATTCAGAGCCAATGAGTTACAAGAACGACAACTAAACTGGTCGATGCGCATTGCACGTGCATGTGCGGATCTTTTTATCAAATCCACTGCTTCCTTCCGATATTTTTGGTGGAGGGCAGCACTATGGTACAGTATTCCATTTTTTATTGCACTTCCCTTATGGTGTCCACCATGTAGCCTCGCAACCTGACGTGTGTATGGTGGTTGCCCACCCAGGCGCTACTCAGGCCCAACCATGTGCTCAGCTCCTGAGATCCGATGAGATCGGGCGTATTCTGGATGCTACAGTCACAAGCCGCGTGTTACCGAACGGCGCTAAATATCAAATGTGGGGACGTAAAACATCCTGCACTAAAAAAAGAGGAGACAAACAGCTATGGTGCAGCCCGCGAAAGTGCAAACTGTAGACAAGACGAACAGCTCAATTTCTGCACACGGCCAAAAAGGACCTCACCTGAACACTTTACATCTGTGTTAAGGACCTTGCCCAACTATTGCGTGCACAGTGCCAGACCAAGAAACATTCGTGAAAATTCCGAGTAGATGCGTTTGTACATACAACATAAGTTCATGGAGAAGATGAGACGTGGAAACAGGCAAGCAGCAGCAGAAGCAGCAGCAGCATAAAGCAAGAGAAAAGCAAGAGGCACAGGTCATGTGCCCACGTAAAAGACAATTCTGGGCAGGTCTTCTCAGTGTCCCGTTTGTGAGCAGCATCCAGTGATTAGAGCCCATGCTCGCCAATTACTGTTACTTGTGTTCTGTTCTTAAGCGCAAGCACCCATTCATTACTAATTGTCTTGACAAGATGCGCCAATCGCAGGACATAAGGTGGCTTTTCTTCAACGCTGGCCTGTTTACTCCGCTATACAAAAATGTGCACCCACAAACAGCACTGTCCCTCCCGTCCTTCTTAATACAGTCGGCGCATTGAAAAACTTCTTATTCATGTCAAACAATGGTCATTATTTTAACAAGACGTGGCCTGTTCTACTTCGACCTACTTTCTACGCGGGTCTCCATTCCGCACTTGTCACACACATCAACGGAGAGTGAACGAGACAACAAATTCACCACGAGCCAATTGGTCGAGACGAAGGTTTGAGGAACGGTAGGCTTTTCAGTTTTACGAGAAGGCAAGGGTTATATACCGCATGTTTACCCTGTGTAATGCTCCACATACCAAAATTGTAATGCTATGTAATATAAATCAAAAACCACTTTAAACATTGGAGCCGATGTCTAACAAGTGTACAAAAGTTAAGCCGACGATGACCCACATTTGCGTCCACCTGCGATTGAAATGGGGGGGGGGGGGGGTTTGTGGCCAAAATAAAACTCAAATAAAGAACACTGGGATAAAAAATGTAGAGGCTGGGCAATGCAAACGCTGCCCTGTAGGCCGGGAACATTGCTTCATTTAAAATAGATCAAAAGGTAGATTGAAAAGTTTGGAAAGACGAAGGGAAAGGTGCATGCTACGAATTACACCAGAAGCACACTTGGGCAGCCTTCGTTGCCAAAAAACATGATGGCCTGTGGTCAAGCCTAACGACTGAATGCAGCCAAAGGAGGGAACACATTACAACTACCACACAGAAGGAAGGATGACTCGGTCAATGCGCACGAGTGAGATGGATTGCTCCACCGTGCGACCTTGTGCGTTGGCGACAGCAGTGGTTAGATCACGGCTGATGACGATCATTATGATTTTGTATATTGTGACCCACAAATCATGACAAGTAAATTGATTGTGGGGGGGGGGGCGGTGCATCAATCCATCAGGCAGTATCAGGCATCATCATCACATACGCAGTGTCAGAAAGAAAGGAGCGACAAAAACACACTCGCGCAGGGCATGTACCCGGTCAGCCTGTGCCATGGCCCCCGTCTCCGGCAGGGCCTGCAGGTGGCTGGTGTAGATCTCCTCGGCGTGCAACAGGTATTGCGCTGTCTTCCTCTTCACCATGTCGCGCCGCACCGTGTTCGTGTCACCTGCACACACGCACCACCCACCGACGAGTCTCACCCACCACCGACGCTTCGACCACGCACCGACAATTGAGCTATTAATGTGGGCTGACAGAAAGTTGGCATCATTATCACCTTCCTCGAACGGTCGTTATTTTGATCAGTGCTGTCAAGAGGAGGGAAAAATATATATTTTAATAAATCAGAGTTCTTGGCTCGAAAAAGAGACGACAGATGGCTGATAAAATAATATATTGTAGGGGCCGCGACCGGTATTTAGATATACATTTGCGCGTGGTACACAAAATAAAGGTGTCCTCTAGTCTAAGGGGTCCCTGATAAATCCTTTCTAAATCCCCATGTTTTCGCGCAGCACAATGGGCAATATCACCTTACTGAGAGAGATGCACTTTGCCCACTCTTTAAAAAAACATTCTGCCAAGTGAGCAAAATGAGCTGGTGACATCTGCATTCAATCACCGTCTTGTTATTCAAAGCCAACGTGAAATACACACGTATGTTCCTGCCAGACAGCGTACCTTGCACGCCCTGCAGGAGTAGGTCAACGCCCATCTTGTAGGCATCGAAGGCACCTTGGTAGTTCCCGAGCACCTCCTGGGCTAGCGCCAGATGGATTTGCTGACTGGCTACCACCAGGTAGTCGTCTTTCCCTCGACCGGCAGTGGAGAGGCTGAACAGGCTGTCCTGCCGGCCCATGGCTGGCCTCCCAGCCCCGGCGCCGTCTGGCCAATCATCGGCCTGGTCGTCGCCGGGAACGCCGTCCGGAGATAACGGCGATGAGAAGGGGGAGGCGGGAGGCTCCATCTCCCCGGCGGTTGAGGGAAGGTTCGGTAGGAGAATGTCCGCGGTGGCTTCACTCACCCCGCCTCCCGTCGCCGGGCCGCACACATCCAGCCCACTGCAGCCGGACCCTGTGCAACATGGCCACGTGCAAAAACCGCCAGCGGAAATGACAACACGTCCTGCGATGAAGAATTGCTTAACACTTATAACAAAAAAATACAGGGAAGTAAAAAGTACGCGATGGGAACGAACTGCACACACGATATTTAAAACACCAACTGAAGGGTGTATTTCTTAAACGGTAGGTACCGTACTTTCTTTGTGTGTAAATAGTGTAAATGTTTACTGTATGTATGTTTAACTTCTTTCGTACCTTACGTAGTAAACCATGCTAACCCGAGGTGTTAAAATTTTCATATACAGTAGAACCTCTGGTCATGAACGCTTCTGACCACGACCAAATCGGGTTACGACCAAAAAATTCACAACATTTTTTAATCTGGTCACGAACACAAACTCGGGTGGCGATCAAACACGGCTGCGGCTGATTTCCCCTTCCGCGCCATCTTTTTGTAAGCGCCAAATTTCCTGTTGTTTGTTTACAAACAACACAAAGCGTAACAGTTATGTATATAACTTTTGTTATATAAAATTCATAGTAAGATATTAATTTTGTGAGTGTAGTCATACCCCTCCCCCCTCATTCAAGCCGTAATTTAGAGAGCGAAAGCGCTGAGTACGTAAATCGCTAACATAAGAACTCGTTAATCTCTTCTCACATCATTCATACGATGATGCGGTGAAGTAAATGTTCATACGATATTATGGTGAATGCTTCCAAAAACAATACTGTACCAAAATTTTACTGTTAACTTACTTTCAATAGAAACATGAATTGCTCTCATGAATATTCTCTCTCTCTCAGAATCGACCGACTGATGTAGTAGACGAAACAATCAACTTGTTGAACGATTTTAAACCTTGACGCGGCAATGTTAGTTTTCTCTGTTGTTCAAGGTTTTCTCAGTGTTATTCAATGTTTTTACATTTAGTTTACTATTACACTGTGAATTCTATGGCATAATTAACTATTTTTGTGCTTAAAAATCTTTAAAAAACAATATTTACATACAGTTCTCGTAGGAGTCTGGAACTGATTAATTGTATTTACATACAATCCAATGGGGAAATTAGGTTCGAGTTGCGACCAAAGTTATGGAACGAATTATGGTCGTGACCAGAGGTTCTACTGTACACACAATGTATACAGTGTGCAAATATGAAAATGTCATATGTTTGATATTTGCAATCAGGGCTCAGTAAAATTTGAAACAGTGGCTGGCACAGTTTCCAAAAGCAGATACAATAATTTTCCATCCCAGCCACCATGGGGCATTTTCCTCTGCGGCTGAAGTCGATCAATAGAATTGGCATCCGTGCAAAATCAGTAAAGTAGAAAAGCTTACATTTCAGCCTGCAATGTGGCACTCCCTCGTTAAGTAAAAAGCACTTGCTCTTTGGTTTTGTCAATCAATTCATAGATCGATGCTGACAATAAAGCGTGACTTTTTGCTCGATTTGTTTTCAATTTCACCCTGGGATTCAAGGTGTCGTTGCCAACGCACCCGTGCCGCTTGCCGCGCCAGGCGCTGGGGAGGTCAACAAGATGTCGGGAAGGTCGGGCAGCGTGTCCACACTCTCCGTCTCTTCGTCTCGATCACCGCCGTCCTCCCTCGCGTGCGATGACAGCGGGACCTTGTCCTTGGTGGATCAGAGAGGAGACGACAGCACGAGCATTATTTATCCAGTACAGTGTCGCTGTGACGCCCTCTGCTGATGAATTACGTTCAAGCGGCGGACTGAGCCTGTTCTTGCAAGGGCACTTATCTGCCCTGAGCTCGGAATGATGTGACGTTAAGGCATACCGCAGAAATTATGCTGCAATGTTGGCAACTGAAGGCGGTACAAAAAAAATAATTGCTGTACTGTAAAGTCTATATTCCCACGTCCGTGTACCCGGCCTTCATCGACCCACATTGGCCAGTGTAGTGAAGTATGGTCATATAACAAACAAAAAATACTGGTTGGAGGGACAAAACTGGAAAGCATGTTAGTATACATATTCCTCGGACAATTATTGAAGGCAGACCAGGATGTTGAACTTATTTTGCACTGTACATTGCCAACCAGTATTTCCTTGTAGCATGGCGAGACCAAGAAATGCTGCCAACTTTGGGGGCATCATCGATCACAGCCAACGATTGACTTATGAAAAATTAACTTGAGCAGGATATATCACTCGAAGGGATAACAGCAGATAATCGAGACTGACGATGGAATCGCAGCCAGGGGAGGGAACACGTTCAAGAATACCACTTCCCGGAGAGATGGAGCGATGTGATCCACCCACGCGAGAGAGCGATATGGACTGTGGTATCACAAGACCGTGAGAGACGGAGATGGCATGTGGAGGCCTTCATTGAGCAGTGGATGGCTGATGCTGATATGACAATTACAAAGCTGCAAAATTACAGTTGTTGCATTCCCTGTGATACCTGTAGCCAGTCTTCGGGTCCCTGGTGTAGAGATTCAGAGAAAGAGTCGGTTGGGCTGTCGGCTGGACCAATTATGTCCGATCCTTCGTGCTTATCACCACCCTGTTAATGGAAAACGTGCTCTAGTTTACATTACTGACTTCATGGATTTGTTAATTTAGGGAGCATAAACTAGCAAGAGGATTACATAAATACTCGGTAATAGTGAACACTACATTTTGTATGCACTCGCACCCTATCAGATACCCATGATGCAAATCAGCACATGATGCCTCAAAATCACTGGACGTCTCCAAACAGTAAGGACAGAGTTTAAAAAGCCCTACAGGATTAAACGTAATGTTTTTATTCCACAATACATTAACACTGTCTAGGCTCCACAAGATACACTTTTCCCCTATTACAGGGTTCTTAAACTATTATTCCAGCAGTCCACAATAAATTATCATATTCTGGTAGGCCACGTGACGTAATATGCCATGTGTAGAGATGTTATGACATCAAGTGACGTTATAACACCTAAAACACGTGACCGCTGATCTGTATTTCAACTCCAGGTCTGTCATATCTCGTCTAGAGCTCTTGAATATATATCTCGACTACCACTCTATCATCACACTCGTCTGTATCTCTCGACTACACCTCTCTAATGTCTACCTCCTGATTATTTATCATTTAATGCACTCATCTGGATTTCTCTATCTCTGGCGAGCCACACGTATCTCTTGAAGGACCCTTGCTCTCAGCGGGTTCACACCAAGAGCTTTCGCAGCCCACATGTGGCCCACGGTCCGCCATTTGAAGAACCCCCGATCTATCAGAAGCATTTCCGTATCAATCTGCCGCACACCTCAAAGAACTCCTGCAGCTGCCGACTGTTGTAGAGGGACGGGATGTTGGCTGAAAACTGCAGCAGGTCCTCGGCGCACTGTCGCCTCTCCTCAATCACGGAATCCTCAAAGCGTCCTGTGCAAGCAAGGCTGCTCATAGCCTGGCAATTCACTTACAATGTATTACAAAAAGAACTCAGCTGCCGATAACGATTTTTTTTCTATATATATCAAACAATTTTAATTAGTTGATTAGGGGAAGACTACAAAAGTTAATGGACTAGGTAAAACAATCTCATGATTTGTCAAGATTCATGTTCGTGATGTAGTTGAAGATTCATTTAAATTTGTCTCGTCTGGTCTCACTTGTATAGTATGTTCTGGCTTGTTAATTCTTATTTTCATACATAAATAGTATATAATTATCAAAATCAATCATCAATTCTTAGACATTATTTTATGCATATACCATGAGCATAATGACTTAACATAATCAATGTATCGCTCATTATATTACCACGGTTTAAGTCAACATTATTTATACTCACCAAAAACAGTTGCTTTTGCAAAAGGTGGAAATTCTTCAGACCTCTGGAAAAGGTTTCGATGGATCATACACAGCTCCTTGTGCAGCTTCTTAATATCATTATATCTCTTCCACACCACTATCTGCAACCACAAATACAACAACTTGAATTTCCGCAAACCTCCGATTAGCAAGGTTGGCTGTGTAGGGTGCGAAAGAAGTTCAACATACATGCATATATATATGAGTGCATCATGCCATATAATGACACCCACGTATAGAAACTGCATAATCTAACGAGTGGATGCATTGGCAAACAAATCATTAAATATGGAATCCATAGGCAGTGCAACACAGTCCAATGTTGTACCGCACTTCTATGTAACAACATATAATTAATCCGTACTGACCAGCGTAGTTGACCAACATAATAAAATATCATCAAACAACCCAGATGGCGTGGGGAGGTCCCTTATCCAGCAGTGGATTGACAGCACTCAAAATTCACCAGTTTCATCCTGGAAATTACTCAGACACGGTGTGGTACTGAAAGAGGATGAGAGCTCACGCAGAGGTGTACCGATACAGTACCTCTTCAACCTTCTCCGGATTCTTTCTTGAAACAATCTGTCACGGTGCAACAGATACATTTACACAGGGTGTAAGGACAAGACACGCGATGCTGCAAGTTTCTGGTGACACTAACACCCCCTTTGCAGGGTAATGAACCTCGGGAATTAAACACACAGGATGGAAACACAGACTAATCAAACAAAGATGGGTTGACATCTATCGTAGATGCGCAAACTCGCGAGTGAAGGAAGAAAGCCTGTTTGTTTTGAACAGTGAACATGTCAATCTTTCCCTGCATGTTGATCGCCACTTGCAGTGCAGATGTTTTAGTTTTGTTTCGTGGCAGGGTGGAGTGGTGATGCGGTGACCTAGGCCACTTGCGATTTGAGCCAAGGTTCGAATCCTGGCCACGGCTCACAACCACCAGAGTGACGACTGATATCTGAACTGGGTTTTTGGCGCCCCATCTCCCTTCACCATCCAGCAATGACCAGCGTGGACCGACACAGAGATCAACATCATTATGCGCAAGATGCTTAATTACCACCCGAAATAGTGGCGCAGTGGTTCGTTTACTGGGCTGCAAGCCCGAGATCGATACCTGTTCACGGCGTACATCAGTGGCGAGTAACGTCTGAAGCTGACCTCGGAAACCCTAATAAACTAACCCACACTGACCGGCGTAGAGAAGTATGGATAAACTATAACCTGTGACAGGACAAGAGGAGGCCTTAGCCCAGCAGTGGATCGACAACGGGCTATACATTAGCATCCATCATCAATGCACTTTTAGAGGAAGGCCTCTCTCCAAGACGCTGCTATACCTTATCACACCATTCTACAATCCACTATTGCCGGTCTGCAATATCATCAACCTTAATCAAGAGTGCAAGTGCATGCTAAATCGTTGCATTAAATGACGTGTAAATCATCCTCGCGGAATTCTCGTTTCCTGCCGCGGCCCACCGAACCCACCCCGGGCTTGCCTAGCCACCCCAACCGGGGTACATCGCCCCTGTGCGGCAGGGCCGGTCTAGGCAAGACCGAGGATGCGCTGGGCGGGGTGAGTGCTCCCAACACCTCCAAACACCCCCCCCCCCCCCGTCCACTCGTTGTTGTTGTTGTTTGTTGTTGTTGTTTACCCGGGCGGTGACCTTGTAGACCGTGTGACCCTTGTCATGTCGCCGCGGCTCTGTGACGGTGTAGAAACGCGCCAGGTCGCCGCCGTGCTGAGGCATCGTTCGGGGCCGCGGGACTCAGCGCGCCGCCGCCGCCTCCTCCTCCTCCTCCATGGCCTTGAGCCTTGGCAGGGGCACGTGGGAAGGAAGTCGGTTGAGACAACAACAGCAACAACAACAACCAAAACAGCAGCAACAACCAAACAGCAACAACATTCGTGAATAACATAAAAACTAAAAAAATATGTATAAAAAAATTTTCTATAAAATTTATATAGTCGACGTTTCGGGCAATGGCCCTGCTTTTGGGCACACGCGTAAGGAGGACAGCAGAGAGATAGAGATGAATCATAAAGTCCATAATTATAGGTAAGATGTTGTTTTTGGGGATAGATGGCGTAAATATATAAATGTTGTCGTTAAACCCGCCACCACCCGACACAGCCAAGAAGTAAGGGTTTGTCACGTAAGCAGAACGTGGCCAATTCGTTCCTAATACAGCACACCGGTGTGTTGGAGAGCAAATCCACAAAGCCACAATATTTACAATCTGAGTACGACGTTTCGCCAGTAATTAAAACTAGCATCATTAGGTGGACAGACACATTTGTTTTCATATTTACGCGATTTAATGCAAAACAACCCTCTGTTATGGATATCGGTCGCGAAATCTTACGTGTTGAACTGAATCACAAGGGTTGGAACTTCACTTATTTTTTTGTGTGTCCTAACGTATAGCCATACCTGTCAACCCCTTATCAGTGCCTAGCTTATTACAGACCAATTCCGACCTTATTGGTCACCCCCGTGCCTTTATACGGGACGTTCATCCCAGAAAGTCCCATCACAAGAGAGAAACACAAACAAATAAATACAAAAATATGTTTTGTCCGTGTTGAAACGGCTGTATGCCGTAAGGACCTGAAAACCCAATTTCCCTGTACAGGAATACGGATAAGCCGTATGGTTTGACAGGTATGAATATAACAGTTGACGTTTCGGGAAATGGCCCTTCTTCAGAGCACATACATAAGGAGGCCAGCAGAGAGATAGAGTGGACACTTCACTTGTTTAAACTTTCATTATTTGAAAAATGTGTACGAACGGATAGTAAGTTGAAATAAAATGAATTTTAAATAAATCACCAAAAAAAATAACGACGTTTCTAACGCAACACAAGCGCTCATTCAGGTGAAAATGGGGCAAGACAGAGCGAGGGAACACACAGAGGGACATCACGCACACAGAGCACACAGAGAACGGCAAACTGCACGGAGGCAAATACAACAGGAAGATGGGAGACGCGAACTCAACAAACATTCGAAACATAACGCGATGCAAACCAGTCGGCCAACAACACAGTTAGACACTAACCTGGTTGACCGCGTATTTCAAAAGACTGCAAAATTTTGTGTTCATCATCTGGGCTGATTTATTTAAATTTTATTTTATTTCTACATATGTGACTTTACCGAAAGAACCAATGAGTATAGTAATTCCTGCAGTCACGAAAGCTTCAATTCTGGATAGTAAGTTGTTTTCGATTGGAATAATTATGAATAGTTACCTGCTCTTGAGTGACAGCTTAACAACTAATGACTGATGTTAATGCGCATTGTGCAATTTAATTACTGCCGCAGCGTATTAATGTGCAGTGGAATCGAATTGCATTATCTGTTTTTATTACTGATTACTCTAACCCAGGGGCTCGGCAACCAAGCTAAACAGGAGGAGCCAATTTATTTTCGAATTCGGTAAGAAACTCAGTATTTCAAGAGCCGCAATGCACACGAAAACGAGACGGTGGTGGTCCTTTTTAAAGAGCTGAAGGCTACTGACCCCCTTGTCTAAACTATAGACTCTGATTGAATGGCAATCTAGACTATGCAATCTAAATTCAGTGTAATTATAGACCGTGGATTGCAATAACATGTTTCATGCGTGCAACATATTCATCATCAGCTGGTCATGAATATAAGGTTGCCGCTGGATTAAGGTTGATGCTGGATTTTAATGCCTTGCCAAACCGCTGCCACCTGTCACTTCATCTATAAATAAACTATAAACTAAAATATTTTTTAGTTTTTTAGTTTACTAAAATATATCTTTTAGTTTACCAAGACCTGCTGAGCTATATTTCTATTTTTCAGTAGCGACCTGGCCAACAAATGATAACTCAACGAAGTGGCTTATCACGTGGAAATGTATAGCAGCCAAACGCGTGATGTTGATTCATAATGTGGAGGGGAAAATCGGAGGCTAATCCAATGAAACGAAAAAAATCCACGCGACCACGGGGCGAGAGACACAAATATACAGCAGCAGGCGTCAGGGTCGGGATCGACCACCACGACCTCCTGCATGCCAGGCGAGGGAGTTAACATCTCGCCACCACAGCGCCCCTTGCACATGAGCTGCACCTGCACACGAGGTCGTTTCATCGCTACATTTCCACGGTGGATGTACTGTCGGGCATGGTTGTCCCTCCTTTGACTGCCACTTCGTCCTTAGTCTCGACCCCAGGCTATCATTCCTTACCAATTGAAAAAAAAAACACGTAGATCCTTAGACAGGCACCATGTATCGTCGGCTTAATGGGCGATATTAATCCCTTAGATTAAATGTTGGGTTACAGGTGTAGTGACATAAATGATGTCACTACACCTGTAGCGACAGTACCGAGTGAAGAGTGTTACTGTATGTGTGGAGCCTCTCTCTAGCATCAGAGGGGCCGTCCATAAATGACGTCACACACCTACAACAGAGTGCAGCGGCGCATTAAATACGCACTACAATGACAATAGTTTAAAGCTATTTGAAGCATGTTTTATTTGGGGGGGGGGGCAGAGCTTTGTGACGTCATATTTGAGGGGGGGGTCTGACTTTTTGTGACGCCGTGTGACGATGGGCGGGGGGGGGTAAAAAATCGTCCAAAATCGCGTGACGTCATTTATGGACGGCCCCAAAGTAAGTATGCCATGGAAGGGCTCAATAGAAGGCATAGTCCCTGTGGCAGTGAGAGAGAGAGAGTTCGGGTGAGGACGTAACAGTCTGGGTGACCCCGAGAGGGCACGTGACCGGGCGAGGTGGCTAACGACGGCCAAAGAGGAGGTGAGAGGGACACGTGATGTGGGCCCTGAATCTCCGAGAAGGATCTGGAAAGGTCGAGTCCCGAGAGTGATCGGGGCAATTCATCTCTGGGAAGAAATCTGCTGTTCTGGTCCGATTGAGTAGTTATCCCGTCAAGTGTGTACTATATATAGTTAGACGGCCGTCCATAAATGACGTCACGCACCTAGGGGGGGGGTCAGACATTTGTGACGATATGTGACGAGGGGGGGGGGGGATTTGAGAAATCTTTGTCGAACCAGACCTGGATAATTGTATTGACACGAGTTTGGAACGCGTCTTTCTTTCCTAGTGCATCTTTTAATGCGAATAATAACGGTATCCACAGCCGACACACACGCGCGTCAATCACACCCGTCAGCGTCGCCTAACGACAACAGCAGCAGCAGCAGTAACAGAAGCAAATTGCGTTCGGTCGAATTATTTCCGGCGATTTTAATTGATAAAAGGGTGCCAATTTGTCCGGAATTAAACAATAACAAAAAAAAACAACCAACAACCGCGCAGAGCAATTATTGGCGTCCATTATCAATTGGTAAACAAATGTGTGTGTGTGCCTAAAAAGGCCGGTGGGGATTGTGTAGACTCAGCCACCATGAACAAAAACACATGGTCGGGGAAATTTATTAATTTCGAGCATAATTCAAGCGTCTACTTAGGTCATGGAACTAATTAGGCCATTTAACGGCGTTACCGTTTATTAAAATAAAAAAAACACATGCGGTAATTAAACTGAGACAAATTAAGTGCCAAATTACGCACTGCGGGCGGCTGTTAATTGATAAACTTGAACAGGAATCGTGGTTAACAAAACATATTCAGGAATTAAAAGCCGACGTTTATTGGATTGCAGAGGACAATAACAATCTACGGCCCTTTGTTAATCCACTGCTGGATGAAGCCCTCCCCATGCCGTGTCGGTTGATGAGAGTTAGTTTTCAATTGAAGCTTTCGTGACTGCAGGAATTACGTAACTTTGCCGAAAGAACCAAAGAGTATGAGAGTTAGTTTGACCATATATTTCACCTCGCTGGCCGGTAACGGGTTGGTGAATGTGAAAGGTCGAGCAGGCAGCCCAGAACCGGTTCAGACATTACTCGCAACTGGCGTTAGCCGTGGCCAGGACTCTAACTCAGGTCTGCCAGGTTCGTCGTGCCGTATGCCAACTACTGCGCCACCACTCCGATCAAATAGGCGTTGACATAAATTTCGATTTAAAGCTTTCGTGACTGCAGGGATTCATCTTCTTGGTTCTTTCGGTAAAGTCACGTAGAAGGGAAGTAATAAAATAATAAAAATAAAACATAATAATGGCGTTGACATAGTTTGATTAATTCTACGTTTCTTAAGTCCGTCTCATCCAGGGGTCGGCAGCCTTCGGCTCCGGAGTCACCATGCGGCTCTTTAAGAACCACCACCGTCTCGTCGTATTGACCACGTGGCATTGCGATTCTTTAAATAATGATTATTTACAAAAAATGTTTTACCGAATTAGAACAAAGATGGCTCTTCTTGTTATTTTGGTTGCCGACTGCTTGTCGAATACATGCGAACTAATTTCCTGCCGTCAAAATAATAACTGATTCCCTTATATGGGTTCGATACATCACGTCGCAGCTGAAGATTGATACACATGACAAGAAAACTATTTTTTGTCTAGATAAATGACTGACCAACCTGTAATTTGTCTTAAAAACTTGTAAATATATAACATTGAACGTTGGCAGTAATACTTTGTTACGAGCGGACATCACGTATCTTTGGATGTTCAATTATTTTAAAGTTGAATTTCAAAAGACATATTTTAAGTAACGATCCGAATGCATTTCCGATTAACGTGGCGGCCTCTAGTGGCTGGAGAGGTTACGCGAACTCCATAATCGCGTAACATATACGACATAAAAAGACCGACTTTACAAACGAACTACTTTTATGCTTTCATCAGGAGCTTAATAAATACTGTGTAACAAGACAATATTTTTTGTTCCTAGG